CTCAAGTAACTTTCGAAAAATTTGTAAATTAAAACAAAAGTGTAAAAGTTGTCAATCTATTCATGCAGAAAATCTTTTGGGTAACGTGCATAAATTTAATCGCTTTATAACCAAGATTAGAGATACATTCAGTGAGACTTACCGAGATTATATTTGAATTCGCTAGAAAACCTTAGTTTTAACGGTAGAATTCAAACCAGTGACCTTCAATTTATTTGTTTGAAATTCTAGGGGTGAGACTGAAAGTTATCCCCAGATGTTATAGCCTTCTGTGTTCGGTATGCATATATTCTGAAGTGTAAAACTATAATCATAAATCTTTTCCGATGTAATTTGAAGCTTAAACTAACTCACTGTGATCTGTGAGCATCACTTATCTTGAATAACTATACTTACTTTCTGCCTAAGAAGTGGAAGTGTGGCCAATAATTCGCGCTTCAATAAACGGTATGAAACATGATTAGATAACAGACCACATTGTAAAAACTATGCAAATAGGAAAAATATTCATACGGAACACAGAAAATGTTCACATTATCACCAAGATCCCTACAACCTATGACGAGCACAGTAACACCTGGGGATGACTTTTAGCCCCACCCAACTGTAGTAACTGATGTACTGGACCGAAGCGCCAGGCAGTTATGAACTTCACTTCCCTAAAAATTACTGTTTACACATTCCACTTCCGTCGTGTTCTAATTAACTGCCAGTATTCCTAAGACTGTATTGAACGAAGATAAGAAAAAGCAATATGTAGAATCACTAAGGTGATATTTACGTAGCGTTTGAAAGTAGCGTTAAGACTTATTGGTAGTTTTTAAAATATCCTGAAACATCTTCATTTCGGTCACTGAAACTGATTTTTTTCGTATACGCGATGAATACTTTCGAAACATCCAAAAATTCGAAACGTTTTTCATAGATATCTTTATATTTTACCGTAGTATGAATGCATGAAGTCGTCCGTGGCATTTTCTGTGAAATGTGCAACAACAAGCTTTCATGACATTTCCTTAAGTTGTAAGTAGGAAACATTCTACTCCTAATAGTCATTCTGTACATCATAATTGAAGTGGGAAATTGAATATGATACTATTCAAAATCATTTATGAATTGACTAATGAACCACTTCTCAACAATTTTTTCCTAAGTCTTTCTGTTTTTCTTGTCCTCCTGTTTTCAACCTCCGTTTTGTTCATTATCAAGGTTCACAGTAGCCCTTGCCGTTGGCATTTGTTGGTATCAAATGTTCATTATTGAAACATATATTACATAAGTGAATGTTGTGAATTAATCCCCTTGACTGTATTATTGTAAATAATATCATTACTAACAGAGAATTGTTGAATTTGATTACTTATAACTATCATTTCTCTTTTTATGCGTCACTTAAAGATTGTGTTACATGTCTGTGGAATAATTTAATTATTGTTATACTATTATCACCCATATATTTAATTTGCGTGTGATATTCTCAGTGTGTGCACAAATCTACTCTTGATATCTGACCCTAAGAATTGTTGAGGATTTAAATTTAAGTATCAAACCTTCCTTATACCTTGTATAGTTGTATATATTTAATCTGCTAGTATATGCTCATGTGTTAAGTACTATGTCACTTGGTTAACAGTTGTGTCAGGAGCATCAATAAGTAGAAGCGGTAGTCAAAATTTCCTACTTGTAAGCAGCATAGTCAACTGCGCCCTTATATATATATATATATATATATATATATATATATATATATATATATATATTCATGCTGACCGGTGACGAAACAACTCTTGACAGGTACGTCTTTGCGCTGTAACCCTAAAAGTTATATTCACGCTTTGTTGTTGATAAATTATTCTGCATTACTGTATGCTTGGCTCAATGAAGTGTCATGAACAATAGCTAAACCAATGAAATGATGCTGGAGAAAAGTCTAGACATTCATATTACTATTACTACTACCACTAATACTAATAATTATAATGGTTGAAGAGCTTGTCGATATCTGAACCACTAAGTAGTTTGTTTAGATTACAAAGTTCATCTTTAAAGTGGGAGAAGAAATCGAATACATTGAATTCATTAGTGGTTTTGATTATGATCCAGAAATGATGACTTCCCAAACATTTAATTCATGTAATCTTTGAGATATCATGGAATGAAATTCAACACAATTATTCCTTGTTTCCACACTGCATTGTTATCTTTACACATCGAAAAATGAAGCTACCCATATTGAGGCACTTAGGTTACAGAAATGGGCAGTAAAATTGTTAGTAGTACACTAGTTGATGTACACTTGACTTTCAGTAACAGGATAGATGTTTCGATTACGACACGAGTGACTAACTCTGAAATGCAGTTTTCTATATAAAAGCTCAGATCTACGAGAGAATATGAACTTCTTAGCGTTACAGGTACACTTTCTGATGAGTACAAAAAAGCACAAAATCTAGGTTCAAGACTGTTGATTGACCTCTACATCCAATATCGAAATAAAATGCTGCTACCCTTTAGAATAAGAAGACTGACTTAATTGGTTGTATTCTCACCGCACACCTATGAAGGTTTGCAGATTTTTGGTAATCTTTTTAAGAAGCTAGCTGTATGGAGTCAGTATAGGCACAGGCTACTACTAGTCTTAATAAAACACGTTTAAAGCACTTACCATGCTTATGAAAGCTTTCCCTTGGCACTCTACACACTTACCTGTTAATAGTTACGTATGTTATATTTTTCATTTGTTTTTGTGACCGAAAGATTGACCATTCTGTTCACAAAGTTAGCGGGTTTCATTAGTGTTCAAAAGTGAAAGACCGTTTACATTTTATACACCCCGTATAACTTAGTTTTTAAAGGTTATATTTATACATAGTACGTTCATTCACATTGAAAAGCTTTCATTATCAAATGGTTTTCATTTCAAATTTGCATACAGTGTAGTAATGCAGTGATTCACATCGATTGCAAGTAGAAACAAAATCAAGCGCATACGAAACAATAATGTGTATGATTGTTGTAACGAAATCACAAGCACTATGATGAAGGAATTTATATGTACTAGTTTTCATTGAATATGGCTTTATTATTTTCATCCTTGTTATCTTCTAAAGTTAAAATATTCGCACTAACTATTGTCTTCAAGTTGTTTATTCTGTAACACTATCTTACCTTTGATATCGGGGTTTTTCTATACACCTATTTTTTGTGTACTACTGTGAAGTGTAGCAACTTGAGCTAATGCTTTTGTGTGTGAGGTTCTATGTTGATTTTATCATTCAGTCAGACCCCAAAGTTTTACCGGCGTTGTCAAACTTCAGCTAACATACCTTTTTCGTGTGAATGATTCTTCGATGTGAGTAACATATGTCCTTAACCATTTCAGCTGATAGAAATTTACTTACATCTAAATGTAATACCTTTTACTCCACTTGCTAAATTTTTGCTACGTCGGTTCACTGATTATTTTGTTTTGAATATATAATATATGTATATATATATATATATATATATATATATATATATATATATATATATATATATATATATATATATACTATTTGGTCACCAGTGGGCCACCTTTGTATATTTCTAGCCCTTGGTTCTTAACACTTACCGAAGTTTATCGATTAAGCTTTTTCAGTGCGTACATAATCCAGCCCTACAATGAGTTGGCAGTGGCATGAATAACTTACTGATTAATTCTTTGGGTTCAGTACTAAGCGATACAAGTTCGAGTCACTGAAAGAAAACCAGTTTTCTGATGGTTGTTGATATGTCTTTCTGATGACTGCCAGCAAGCACAAAACCTTGGCCCAGATATAAAGACGTAGCCAATAATATTCAACCTATGTACACATTCTAAATAAACTTTCATGCGATTTAGAAATGACTTACTTCTTTATGAAGTAAGTACTGATAAAATCACCTAGCCTGGGAATGAAACGTCCTAGAAAAAATTTAAAGCCGTGAGAACAAAAAACAAGTGTTATCCTCATTCTGTGTTACAAACCTTCTTTATAATCTCAAAACCTAACCGACTTGCACTTATGCTACGTAACATTTCAAAAATGTTTGTATTTTAAACTCATAGTACGATATCTTCAGTGTTGAAAGTTTACGAATGTGATGTCCAAGGTTTCATAGATTAGATTGTTTGGCGTAAATTTATGAGGTAAACATCTCATACGTAACTGAATTCTTATAGACAATAAGTGATACCTTTATATCTTAAAAATATTTTTTGGATTGGTCATATTATCGTATTTTATTAGTTTGGAAGAAGTGAAATATTTATCCGAAAGGAATAGAGAAGAGAAACTTATGTTTCTGGCTATAGTTTGTGTCAAGAAATTGTGTTAATCGTAAACAGATCCATTCTGATTCGTTACGTGGTTAATGTGATCATGTCACTCTATTCTATACTTAGAATTTAAACAAGTCAAGTAGCGTTATTATTCATCTGAACCTCAGTGAATTTTCTTGGCGTGTATGGCCGTTTCGGTCCTCTTGCAAGCTTAATGTATCTTCTTAGTACATTGCATCTTGTGCAGTGTGGTTGTAGACATATGGCAGGAATTATTTACTGCGGCTGATTTACTTATGTGATGTTCACAGTCTAGCCATCAGGTGAACATACTGGTAATCAGTGAAGTTATGTTAGGGTTAATTTATTTACTGATGTCAAAACTCTATCTGTAGAAATTGAAGCTTGAATCGAATGAAACTTCTATGTTGTTTACTACCTTTTCATAAAGTATTTACAATCATTTCATAAACTGTGTCATGTTATGTAACTACAGTTGTTAAGAAAATGTTCTCATCTATGGTTGACAAATGATCAGACCAACTACTAGGCTTCACAGATCTAGTAGATACACGATAACCTCCTTCGCATAAAATACGTAATGGATTGCCAAACATGTTGTATTGTGACTTATTAGTTCAGTTTTTGATTGCTAATTTTTGGTTGCCTCTTGATTTTTTTTCTTATGAATTTACAGAAACCAAATGTAAATATCCTGGATTGTTTAAATTTATTCACATCTAAAGAAGAACTGGATGGTGATGATAGACCAGTAAGTTGAGATTATTCATAAATATTACCCGTACTATTACTGTGGTAACACTCAACAGTGTGAAAGTTTTCTATGTGGTCGATATATAGACAAAATCAACGTGGAACTTCGCACACAGGAGCATCGGTTCAAGTTTCCACACTTCACAATAATATACTAAGAACAAGTGGATAGAAAAGATTGCTATCAAAACGGATAATTGTTTATGAGAAAAGAAGAGATTTGAAAATCATGGTTACTGAAAATGTCAAGGAGTGAATACATCCGCGCCGTTGTGACCGATGCTCAGTCATGTCACCAAGAGTCCTCAATCACAGATTCTAATCGTCTCGAGGACCTCTACTAGGCTCTCTGTATCTCCCCACATAACTCAGATCAACCATAAGAAACTTCACTGACTGGTGCCATGTCTTCATCTGGCCACCCTGAACCCTCTTTCAACCTAATCTAACTTTTTCTACCACGCCATATCGATTTATGCGGTGACTGGACATGAGCAGCATATATCCACGCCACTTCGGTGGATAAAGGTTTACAACCTCATCAACTGAGTAGGCTTCCTTGCCTACTACCTTTCCCCTATCATAAACATTGCTCACATGGTGATTCTACCTTAAGTGATCGAGACTTTCTAGCCACTTCATTTCTTCTGCTTTTAACGATCATAACACAACCGTATAACAGGACAGAACGAGCTTCATCACAGTATACTCTTTCCTTGATAGGTCGTGCGATATCCCACCAGTCGGCGCTAGAGATGATGCAAGTTGACGAATTTTGAGTGGGCCTTCTGTGTTTGAGCCGGGATTTCGTCAACAAGCAGCCCGTTCAAGTTGATGCAACTCCTTAAGTAAGTAAAGTGGTCGACCCATTCCACCAATTCGCTTCCTATCCTTAGACTAGAGGTAGCTGCAGACCAGTCCTAGAGCATCATCTTACATATGACAGGTGTGAGATGTATGCAGAACGTACTCAGATTTTCGCTCAACGAGTTTAGAAAATCCTGCATTTTTTCAGCGTCTTCACCTAGTACAATAATATCTTCGGCATACTTCAAGTCAACCAGATGACCTCCAGGGAGTAAATCAATCCTTTTGAAGTCAGACGGTCACCATCAGTTGACAAACCTTTTTTCCTACTCAACCATTAAACATCTACCATAGTTCACCATAATTTTGAGTTCCTTATTACAGTGAAAATGTTGCTGACAACTTTGTAAGAACTTTTCAGTATATCACATGGTACGTTTCTTAGTTCAGTGGACAATTTTTATTCACATTATCTTAATAAGAAGAAAATATGATAGTTATAATGGAGCTTGAATTTTAGACCCTTATTAGAGAATTTAAGTCACTTTTAGTATGCACATTTTGTTATTTATACACTTGATCGATATCATCTGGCATGGATAAAACTAGTATCTGACGTCTTTCCCTTCAAGTACTTTTGTGTATACTTCATTTATACTCGTCAGTGGATGATGGTCTAAACCCTATCTTAGCAAGCCTGAAGTCACCATCTGATTTCAACTGGAACTAAGGTAGTTTTCGCCATAGTCTGACATAAATTGGCGAATTATCTAAAACCTGGAGGCATTGGACAGGTGCTTCGACCCATTTTCGGGGGACATCATCAGTATGCAACTGTGACCCTATGAGGGGTTCAACTTAGAACTATCAAGTTTCGCAATCAGCACGCATTCATTTAACCACTCAATTGGAATCCAGTGGTTCACATCTTCCTATCTATGACAATTGGCAATGTAATGCGAGCTTCACTCTACTCTATGGGCGAGTATTCGTCCGCATATCTGACTTGGTTGACACGTCATAACTTCACATCAGAACTTCCATTTAGTAGCAACTCACTAAAGAGCACTGAAAGGTAGTTCACATGGCTTGTGGGAATTGTTTAGAGTGTCAAAAGTGTTTATTGTTTGGCTAAACACAACAGTTTTAAAATTTGCTTGAATCACTTGAAATTATTCATCATACAGGTCAACTTTAACATCGTTGGCTATTTGCATACTGTGTTCATCATATATATTTCTTCTTGTATTTACGCATTTGTATTTCTCGAATTCTAAAATGGTCACTGTTATTTGTTTTTCTGTTATCCTTTAACCCGCATTTTTTTGTAGGACTAAAGAAACAATTTTCTTCATTGATTTTCTCTTATGTTCTTGTTTTTACAGATCTGTAGCCGATGTAAAACTCGAAGACGATGTACAAAAAGTTTCTCTATTCAGAAATTCCCAAACATTCTTGTACTTCGTATCCTTTTTGTTATGGCGCATTATTATGTTGCTTGAGTTCACGTATTTTTGTTTTCACGATTCTTTTTATGACAGAATGTGTCTAATTCCATCATTAATTGATGATATTTTCCACTTAAAATGTGTGAAAACTTAGGCATATGAAAACCTCACTTAAATATTTATGATGATGCGGCAAACACCATTCCTGCAGAGATGGTATATGATGATTTCATTAGATGTACGAAAGAAAACGTTTTTTGATGTGGAAAGAAATATTTTAGCCAACAGACATTAATCAATATCTGAACGTAGTTAACGCAGAAAGAAAATGGATATTTCATCAACAGAGTTGTTTTCATCACGAATTGATGGGTCTGGCTCTCTAGTTAACATCAACGCCTAATGGTGTAAGTCATTTGAAATCAGTAACTCCTGACAAACCCCCAGTGAAATAAAAAAACCACTATTACGACAAGAAATCAATCCTTTTCTATAAATTCGATTTCCTTGATACTCAGCTAAAGTAAATAGGGTCTCAGAATGAAATACATCCATTTGATCTCATTTTCCGTCATCAAAGTCTAGCTACATCACGATTCATAATCGACTATAAGATAAAGGATCTAGAAAAAAGCCCAACTATAGCTATGCGTACAATTGCACACAACCATATAGTAAGGAGGCATGGAGTGACAGTCCTTGAAACTAATTTAGCCGACTGAAAGAAATCCATAACTTATTCTTTGTTTATCGAACCAACACCAAAGGCCTTCAGGAAGAATGATTCAGCACTTATTCCAGATTTATAGAAAATATTACTACCCATACTATAAAGAAAGGACAGAATGAGAACAATATAAACCATATCTCAGAATTGTGGAGTTACCTTGATATGACCATGAATAATTATTTGCGTCTAAAACATAATCAAGTAAATTAATACAGTTTCACTATGGAAAAGATTTGTAGCCCAGAATGAGGATAGAGTTACTGCTTAAGATGTTATCAAGCCTGGTGACGAAACCTTCATGACAAAATATTAAAGCTTGGCGAACGCCACTGTGCGATTCAAATAATAAATCAACTGAAATGAAGTCATGTTCTGTTGTAGTGCCCAAGTTTTACCATTAAATCTATCATTTAGTTTGAACAGCTTAAATATATAAAGGCTGTTTGAAATAATAAGGAATTTCGGATCTTGTTAACATTCGAACGATTGGCCTCCGGAATACTGGCCATGCTGTACCAGCACAGCTGCAACTTCTATACACTGAGCAAACCTTCAATCATAGAGGGTTTCACTTAACGGCAATGTGACTTCCTGGCGTCTAAATTTCTGTTCATTGTAATCAAAGTATCTACTCGGTCAGTATTTCTCACCCAAATCCAAGTCAACCTGAATTAAAGAGAGGGTCCTGTAACTGAAAACATTTGTCTCTAAGTGAGTTTTTAATTACCACTCTAATCCCGTCCTTATTAAGAATCCTACATAGGGCTTTTGATATCTCTTCACTATACGGTGAAGCTGTGAAAGAGCAAGAAACCTTCCCAGTGGTTTGTATCTGTAGTTGTGCTATTAGTATTTATCTTTGTACTCCTTATTGTTTTTCTGGATAAACTAACAAGGAGATTTGCTGAGTAATAATACATCTTTTGTGTATTTCATATCTTCACATAAATTTCCTGCCGCACTAGTCGGTCTTCTTGCCTCGTTACTTAGGCAATGAACAAAATCCGCCTTAACTAATATCAAATGAAATAATCTGGGGTTCAATTATCGACTAGGGTGTGAAGGCATATTCCAGACGCTAGTATCTAGACCTCCATATTGCCTTCGTTTGGTTTGCAGTCTAACATAACCATTACTCCTTCATCCCTTTCTAGTTCACGTATGAGTTGATTTTCATCAACTACTGACTTTATATCTGTAAGAAATGTGTTGATATGCTCTTCTTTTAACATTACAAATGTTTTCCATGCATCACCATATCTTGGGAGTAGGTTTAAGTTTCTTCAGGGTGATGCATTGCCAACTGTTCTTAGTTCTCTACTAAAATACAGTAAGAGGAGAATGACAAGGAAATTAGCAGAATATGTCAAAATTTTACTGCCAATCAGATAAAAGAATAAAAAGCAGTAGAAATGTAAAACATGGATGTGATTACCTTCATATGTCATGATCAAAGTATTATTCAGTAAACAATGTTTCACTATGTGCTAGATTTAAAAAATGATAACGGGACAACATTTTAGTCCACTAAACAACAAAATCTATTGATGCACTTCCTCACAACGAGTACATTTGATCATATTGCTTTCGCTTAAGATATATACAGCTTGTGAAATATCTCGAGAAGTGAGATAAGATTTGTTGAACCATGCGAAAAATTCTATTAAATTCTGACCTTCAGGTTATTTATTGGTAAGAAATATCTGGAACAATCTATAAGTATTCAACCATGGAGTTTCATCATAGGTTAGGGTACGACTTTTACAATCAATGTCTTTTCTGGCTTTTTTCTATCCTTGTTGTTATAGCGTTTGATATAAATAGTGGTATAGCCAATGTGTAACTGGCACCATTCATAATTTTAAGAATGATTTTAGATATTTTTGGTCATTTAAGGTGCAGATTATGAAATTAATAGAGATCTGATGTTTGTAGCCAAGGAATTCTATGTCTATTTATCGATCATAAGTTCCGTATTTGTAAACGTTAATCTGTTTCATTAATTATTTTTAATCACATATGACAAGTAGACTGGAAGTTGACTAAAGGATTCCTTTTTGTACTGTATAGCCTTTCGTATTATATCTTTTATGGGGAGATATACTCGTTTATAAGATATAAAACGTAGGTTTACTATTTTTACAGACCATAGAAGTGTGCATTTATAGTGGCGAAAGGTTATTACAAAACTGTAATCTAGCTACATGACTCGAAATAAGCAAATGAAGAAGTAACCGACAGTAACGATACCAATATCAGACAATAACAAAGGGCAATCCAGCCTAGAGAAACTTTTCCACAAATCATTTTCAAAAGCCATATATACATACTTGTCGAAAATACATCAAAATGCACTCAGCAATCTCGTGCATAATCGTGGTGTAGGAAATGAGTCTCACTTATTTTGCGAGGGCTATTGATACTACTTGCCATGTGCCTAAACTAATGAACTATAGCTCCAGCATTTGAAATTGTAGTTACATCGATAAATATATGCTCACCTTCCAATAGAGCTATCACTGCATGTCGGAATAGATAATAAATTTACAGTGAAGTTGTAATGAGGTGTTGAATATTAAATAATGGAGTCACTCAGTAGATAATGCGTTCACCGTTAGACCACAAGATTCTCTGTATTTGGTCTGAAGTGAGATGATCGAGTTGATGCACTCAGCGTAAACATTCATAATAAAAATCAAGCAGCTATCCACTACTCTTTGTTTCTAAACGGAGAACTTTTAAAATTCCCGTATCTTCTGACACAGTCTATGTTAAGATTTATTTTCCACTGCCATTTAGTTCTACAGATCTTCGAAACGTGAAACTAGCAAGTTTAGTATAGTTTTATTAACTATCTGTGCTAGTTACATTTGTTTTACAGTTTTTCCTTAACAAGTTTAACGACTGTTCAGATTTAAAGCGTTTCTCTGGTGAACGTTTTCGTTCTAAAATGTCAGTCATGGTTGATTATCCTTTGAGAAGTTTAGATTTGATTGGATTCGCTACTCCAAGTTGTAAGTTATTTCATTCTACTTTATTTTAATACTGTCACGAATTTCCAAATTATAACTCTGCCTGGTTAACTAGTTCACTAGTCACTAGCCGGTCCTAAGCCCGGGTAGAGAGGGAAGGTTGGGCATAGGGCTAGCAACTCTACCCCGGAAAACTAATCCAATCGCTAAACAAACTTCAAAGCACAAACAAAATATAAAAATAATAACAAACTCATTCCTCGCTGGAATCGGAGAGGTGAAATGACGCCGGTTGGTGAAAGCCTTCGGGAAGCCAATTGGCCGATGTGTCTTCTCCCCCTCGATGAAAGCGAAAGTAAACGTGGGGACACGGAATGTCCGCACCATGTTTGGACCTAGCAAGGCAGCCCAGATTGCAAACGAGATGAGGAGGTATGACATGGAAGTGCTTGGAATCTGCGAGTAATTTGCAGATGGAATGGAAGTGTACTCTCCAAACTGTCAACTGGAGAGACAATAATCTACTCCGATATTGTCACCCAGACGACAACCACGAGCACACTGAGTTATGGAGTGGCTATCATGATGTCCCCAAGAGCATTGAAGGCTCTCATGCAGTGGGAACCAATCTCCTCCATCATCAGGATCATGACAGCAAGATTCAACTCAAAAGGAAGGAAGGTCACAATCATTCAATGCTACGCACCTACAAATAATGCAGGTTAAGAGAAGAAGGAGGAATTCTACAGACAACCGCGATCAGTACTAGACGAAACTCAAGCTGGCGACATCTAAATCCTATTGGGCGGAGTGACATGAATGCCAAACTGGGAGGGGACAACACAGGAAGAGAACTCATCATGGGCTGAGAAGCGCTAGGTAAAATGCAGAATTCTGTGCATTCAACGATTTGGTGATTGGAGGCAGTGTGTTCAAGCACAAGGATACATAAAGTGAATTTCACCAGATGGACACACTACACTAAAAATCAGATCGACTTCATCTCAATGTGAAGAAAATGGAGACGCAGTCTACTTGACACAAGGTCAGATCAAGAAGAGGAGTAGATGTAGGTTCACACCACTATCTAGTGCAAGAAACCCACCTTCGAAATCAAGTTGAAAGCCTTCAAGGAAGCTGATGATAGACGGCAGTTCAAGTACAACACTCGGAGCCGAAACCGAACTGAAGGACGAAACTGCAAAGGAAATCTCCACGTCAGGCACCCATCAAGACAAAATGGGAGATATCGAGGAACGTCCCTGAAGAAACCTGTGTGGAAGGACACTGGAAGTGTTTGAAAGAGGTGTGGAAAGAAACCTGCGTAACCATATTAGGGAGGAAGGGGAAACAAGACAAGGAATGGATCTCGACGGACACATGGAAGCTGATGGAGCAGGGAGAGGAGGATGGTGAAACAGAAGATAGATAAACGCAGTGCAAGGATGAACAACGAAAAGAAGAACTGAGTGCAGCGTATAAAAGACTACACTGGACAGAGAAGTGAAGAAGAGTGCGCGGAAAGACAAAAGACACTCCTACGACACACTGGCAAGTGAAGCAGAACAGACTGCTGGTAGGAGAGACCTGACAACACTGTATCAAATAGCCAGGTTACTATCTGGAAGGGAAGAGATCAACGCAAACGAAACCAATGAAAGATGGTGAAGGAAAGCTAGTTACCAAAAAGGAGAAACAAAGGAAACGATGGGCTGACCACTTCAAAAAAACTCTTGAATTGACCACCACCTGCAACTCATCCAGGAATATAACCAGCAGCACAGCCACAGAACTACACGTGAACACGAACCCTCTGACAAAAGCGGAAGTCCTGAACGCCATAAAGTTGCTGAAATCCGGCAAAGCAGAAGGAGCAGATGAAATTCTGCTAGAAGCACTGAAAACAGACGCGGAGACAACAGCGTACATGCTCACACCACACCACTATTGCAGAAGGTGTGGAAGGAAGGAAAAGTACCTGTGGATTGATTAGAAGAAGGGTTACCTTGTCAAACTCCCAAAGAAAGGAGACCTCAGTGTTTGCAAGAACTGGCGAAGAATCATTCAGCAGTTCACCCAAAGCAAGCAAAATATTAAGGCGCATCATCCTGGAGAGACTAAACGATGCACTGGATTCAAAATTACAACCGGAACAGAGTGGCTGGCTTCAGGAAGAACAAACCATGTCGGGACCGAATTGCAACGCTTCGCATCATTATAAAACAGAGTAAAGAATGGCAGTCAACTCCCTATCTCAACTTCATCCACTTTGAGAAGGCCTTTGACAGCGTCGACCGAGAGGTAATTTGGAACTTGCTTCAATACTACGGAATACCACAAACCTTTATCAGCCTCATTCAACAACTATATGAAGACGCCACATGCCAGCCAAGTAATTTACAATGGGAAGCTCAATGATGCTTTTGAAGTGAGGACAGGAGTGAAACAAGGTTGCCTACTATCCCCCATGATATTCCTGATTGTGGTCGACTGGATCATGTAGCAAACAGTGAGGAGTGAGAAGAGGGGGATACTCTGGACTGCGGAAAAGAACCTAGAAGATCTGGATTTCGCCAATGATGACTTGTGTCTGATGTCACACAAACTTGATTATCTACAGGCGAAAACTAACAAGTTGACAGAAGAGGTAGGGTGGCGAAGGTGGGACTTCAAGTGAATATAGAGAAGACAGAGGTGATGAAGATACCGCACCAACAACTCCAACAACAACAAGAAATTCCAGTCACCATCAACAGGAGAAACTGAGAGGAAGTAACCTCCTTCACCTAACTAGGAAGCACTGTTTCAACTACAGGCGGCGGAACAGACCAGGATGTCAAAGTCAGAATCAGAAAAGCAAGACAGGCATTCATTAGCCTGAAACCAGTGTTGAGATCTTCTGCACTGCACTCAGCATGCGGAACAAGATCCGGATTTTCAAAGTTAATGTCAAGTCAGTGCTTTTGTATGGTTCAGAGACTTGGTGCGTTACGAAAGGGATTTCCAATAAACTACAGACATTTATCAACAACTGCCTACGCTGGCTCGTTACTGAAGGTCAGATGGATTGCCATAAAGAATAAACAACAAGGGGCTGTGGGAGCGAACCAACCAAGAACTTATCACCCAACAAATATGCACTGGAATGAAGTGGAGATGGATTGGACTGGGCATACGCTGAGAAGGCTGACTGCGGACATCACGTACCAGGTCAGGCCCTCGAGTGGAATCCCTATGGGAAGCGACGAGTTGGGCGTCTGAGTCGAGGGTGACATGGAGGAGATCTTGCGAGGAGGAAATGAGAGCTTGTGGGCAGTCATGGAGCCAGGTTGAAAAGATTTCAGAGAACAGAGTTCACTGAATATGTGCTACTGAATCCCTATGTTCCATCAGGAACCCAAGGGACTAATAATATAATAATAATAATAATAATAATAATAATAATATGATTGGTTGACTTCTTAGATCAATGTGTTTTGAATGTTTCTTTTGATCAACTTGCAACTACTTCATACAAATGGGAAACGAAATCTGAAAACCTTCATTTTTTGATGATTGGCTAAAAGAAAGTTTCAGAAACGATATTTAGCTGTTCAATCAGTTGTGATGATGACGAACATAATTCAAGTGACTAACAGTGAATCAAATCAGTTAAAAGGCTAAATGCTATATAGTTGAAAATCTTTCTTGTTCTGACCAGTTTATTTCTACTGTCAATTGTCAGAGATCCAGGAGATTTTTGTTTTCCCCTCCATGTAAACCTGTAATTTTTATTAATACTAGCACAAATAACTGTTCAGTTTATTTGAGGGATCATCTCATAATCGTTTTGATCGTCTAAAACGCTTGGCTACGGTTCTTTGATGTTCTCTGGGCTTCGGTACTTTGAAGTTAATTCTGACGATGTCACCGAACCTCGTGATGAAACGTCCAAGACGAAATTCCATAGCTTATAGAACATCGAACCATTGACCTCATCTGGAGCCATAAATCTTTTCTATCACGCTTGACTAAACGGTACTCACACATAAAGTCCACTGAACGTTAAGTGTGATAATAATAATAATAATAATAATTCACTTTATTCCAAATAATTTTTACTACAGTTAGGAATTCTCAGCATGATATATTGCAATAATAACAAAATATATGTATATACTCCTTTAAAACATTTTGAATTTTGTTATCAAAGGATTTAAATAATATAAGGAATAATAAAAACAAGGAAAGTTTATATTGTTGATTAAATTATTGAAATGAGATTGTTAACTGTTACGAAGTTGATATGTGAGTCACGTCCTAAGATTTTTTTCCTCACATAATATGCGTTCCAGGTAAGGCACAGTCGAATTCCTGTACTTGACTATGCGAGCGTACAGTCTTATGCAGTTTCTTCTTATCCTTCTAGAGGAGATACAAGGAGAAATCTGTGAATCAAGTGGATGCTCAGTGTCCGTTAAAATTACTGTCTACTTGCTTGCTAGGATTTAAATGTCTGTCAAATACAGTGCTAATTAGTTGAGCCAGAGGTACAACACTCTACCTACTGACGCCTTTCAAAGCCATATGCAATTTAACACAGCTTTTTTTTAGAAGACCAGGAGAGATCAATAGGGAACAACAGAGAAGAATGGGTAAAATGCAGGAATTAATAAACTGTAAAAGTAGAGGTTTAGTTATACCAAAGAGCCTCAGTTTCTTAATGTAATACGTTAAACGAAAGATTTTTAACAAGTCAACAAGATATGAGACGACCAAAGAAAATAAGTGAACCTCACTCCAAAATAGTTAACACTTGATCTACTTTCTTCAGAAATGCCATCAGTACAATAGGCGTCATGAGACTTAAGCAGCTCGCATAAGTTTTCTTTACGCCTGGTGCTAAAATTAACAGTCTGACATTTAGAAGGGTTTAACTTGAGACCATTTGAGAGAGACCATTGGTCAGTTACAAAGCAATCTAAGTGAGAGTTAACTGAAATGTAAACTGTCAGGTTATCAACATACTTAATAAAATTAGTTTCAACAGAATAAGGTAAGTC